CAACTGGACCAATCCGCTCCGTAATCTGATAAGGTCCAATAATTCGTGGACTCAACTTTCCCCGTTTGCCAAATCTCAACACTCCTTTCCCCGTCATTCAGTTCTCTCTTGCAACCATGGCAGAAGACATACATAAACTGTAATCCTTTCGTTGTTAAAACTGTGTTCCCCTACCTTCAGTTTCTGTTTAAAAATGTTCTGTTTCTAATTCATCAACGTATATTGTGATCCTGTAGTTGCAACCCACCTATTATGTTTTGACTTTGTTATAATCTTTTTAATATAATCCATCATCTCTTGGCATTTGTGTTGGGGAGATATGAAACGTTTTCTCCATATTTGATGGTCTAATGCTTGGGTTTTACACCTTCGTATGCATGCATTTACGAGGGTGATTGGATGTCATCCCAATGCATTTAGGACATGCTAGTTTAATTAATTGTTGAATTATGAGTAATGCTATGTAGCCCCACTGGGGTTACAATTCAATCCAAGTGGCGTTAATGTTGTATTAAATAATAGGTGAAATCAAATACAATCCCGCTATACAGCCAGGCTAACTGACAGGGCAATTCCCGGCTGATGTGGCAACATTTAAAAAAAAAAAGAAAAAACAAAGGAAAAAGAATAAAGAATTAAATCAATACCGTGGGCCTCCTCCTTCCCCGAGACTCTTCCCCCAAATTGGAAGCCAAACTCCAAACGGAGCCCTCTCCTCTGACAACACTTCCACACCCACCATACACACAATCAATTCCACCCAAATCAAGCTTCACACCATCATCATCTCCGGCTACACGTCATTGTATGGTACCGTCCCTCCTCTGACAGCACTTCTTAATACGCATCCGCCTGAAGATTTTGAAGGTCGCACTGTACTTGAACTTTCCTCTGTTCCACTCCGACTGCCTTTTACGGCGTAGCTAACAGTAAAATTAATTCAACGAATTTATACTTCATTATATTTCGGGCAAACCGTATTTCTCCCCTTATCCTCTTTGTCCACTAATTTGCGTTTGACTCCCTTTCACCTTATAATTCGAATCACTACTAAGGTGTAGTAGTTTCAGTTCTATATTCTGATTCTCTTATTTATCCCTACCATTTTTTAATTTCAAATCGTCATCTCTGAATAAGTCTCCAGTTTGCGGTGTGTTGGTACTCTGCTCATCCATCTTTGTCTAACAAATTTTTTTCTTGTACGTGTAATCCCCTGCGTCTTAAAGGTACATATAAATGAATGAAATGCAATTCACATTTAGTTTTCGATCTATAATTTCTCTGTCGATGAAGCTGGGTTATTGAAGTCATGTTTAGCATGTTATATTGTATGTTGATTTTGTTTAGAGCCGGTTGGAATGAAAGTGACCTACATCACTGAAATGTTGACAATTTGTATTGGAGAGCTACATGTTATTTTCAAGAATTTCATGCTAGTGGATGGAGATGGAGAAGAAATTGTCATCACATTTAAGATTCTGAAGGTGTCCTGTGTTCTGAAATTACAAATGTTGTTTACATGTCATTTTTCATCTTCGATCATCATCGAGATACGTTTGGTTTGTGTCTACTTTTCATATGTTCATTACGGTGTTTAGTTCCTACGTGAATTGGTATGTCGAATTAGCTATTGCTGGAGTTGACAATGTTATGTGGTTTATTCCCATTATAGAATGGCTGGAAGGAATGTTGGAATATGTCATAGTTGCAGATCTAAAAGCCACTACTTTGCCGAATGCCCACGGAAACGCCGAAATCCATCGTGCAAGCATGGATTTGAGAAATATTTCGTGGTGGAGAAGGAGACAGCAACTAAAGGGCGATTATTTCTTTGCTGCAGTGCCAACTATGATTTTTGGGAGTGGGTTGTAAAAGAAAAGTCAAGCGGCGCATGCTC